TCTCTCTCTCTCTCTCTCTCTCTGTCTCTCTCTCTCTCTCTCTCTTTCTCTCTCTCTCTCGCTCTTTCTCTCTCTCCCTCTCTCTTTCTTCGTATCTATAGATCATTCTCTTTCCACCTCTCTTAACTTTCTAACTATATCCGTCTGTATCGACCAACACACCTTAAAATATATCTATGTGCAGGTGCGTGTGTGTACCGTGAAAAGCTGTTGTTCTATGTTGTTATGTGCACTAACGCTAGTATAATCAGTATGTCTTCAGACAACTCTATTTTTGATTTTCTCTTTTCAGGGTTAATTCCCTCGCCCGAGCTTCAAGAATGGCGAACTGCGTGCCTTGCTATGGAGAAAGCGAAACAGGATCAGGCTGGTTAGTAATTCCGTTACTTCGCGTAAAAGGGTTCCCCCAGCGAAGCTTTTACGGCGTTTAGTTGCCTTCGCGAGCAGTGTGACGTGGTCATATCTGAACGTTCTCAGTGCACAGCATATAATCGCAAAAACCAGGTTATCGTGAGCTTCACGTTATACGGACTGCCATTAGTCGTCGCAAAAACCGCATTGCTTGGGCCATCTAGTGAGACAGTTTTCCTCAGGAAGCAATCGTCTTGACTTTCACTTACTAGCATTCACAAATTATATTACCATGACGTTACTGGGTATTTATTGCTTCACGTGAAAACGTGAAATCTAGTGGTCAGGCCCAGGTTGTATGCTCTTATATGTTTAAAGCAACTGATTGTGAATGCTAGCAGTGATGCTGTTTACACCCATAGAGGATGCTTGAAACCCTTTGTTGTTAAGTTTCCTTCCTTGCCCATCGGTCTTTTTTTATATCTGCTAACATGTAGGTTTGTTTAATTTACCTTGGCTTGTTTTTGTTATCTACCGATCTATCTATCTATCTAACTATAGGGCCATCTCTCTCTCCATCGCTTTCTCTCTCTCTCTTTCTCGAGATATATATATATATATATATATCTATATATGTATATATATATATATGTTGTTAACTCTGAACTCCATCATTGCAGTCAACTGCTCGTGGTTCGGTAAGAAGAAGAAGCAGTATCGGGATAAGTACCTGGCTAAGCACAATGCAGTATTTGACCAGCTAGACCTGGTCACGTATGAGGAGGTTGTACGATTGCCTGCCTTCATGAGAAAAACCCTAGTCCTGTTAGGTAAGCACTACATCACACTTTGATACCTATGTTGCTTTTTCTGAGTTTAAAACGCTACTTTTCTATTTCAGTACGTTGCAATACTAAATAATGAACTAATATATTATCCGATACTACTGTTTCCTAATGCATGGAATATATTTGGATATTAGTAATCATGCTATTGAATAAAAGAACTGGCACTGTAACTACCAAACACACAACTGCTGATATCGCAATCCAGAGTATGACATATTGTTATTATTTGATATTGAATTTCCTTTTCAGGGGCACATGGAGTTGGAAGAAGGCATATAAAGAATACATTAATAACAAATCACCCAGAAAAATATGCATATCCCATTCCACGTGAGTAACACCAGTGACATTTTGTTCTAGTATTAATTGTTATTGCTCATGGAAGTGGTCTGTGAACTCAGCAGTTCGCTTATTGCTTGGGTGTGTGAAAGTGCATCTCTGAAACAGTAGCAAATGGTATTATTTTGTCAAAGCGCTGTCTACTTTTAATCGGAAAAAGTGTTCTGTGTCAATTTTGCGGCACACGAGTTGCCATCAAACAGACTGCCTTCGTCACTCCTTTGTTATTTACCACTCTCAAACTACGATCCACAGTGGATTCCAACACTTGCATTTGGATTTTGGATTGCAACACGTGGAATCCAACGTTCTCACATTTGACTCCAACCCTTTTCTGTTTTCAGACACGACACGACCACCCCGAAAGGGAGAAGAGAATGGCAAGAACTACTGGTTCGTATCGCATGACCAAATGATGAAGGATATTGCCTCTAATGAGTACCTAGAGTACGGAACACACGAGGACGCCATGTACGGCACGAAGCTGGAAACGATTCGCAAGATTCACCAAGAAGGTCGAATTGCGATATTGGATGTAGAGCCACAGGTGAGAATTTATGCAATATATATACAAGTGTGCGTGCGTTCGTGCGTGCATGCGTGCACGAGCGTGTGCGTGTGTACAGATTAGTATTTCAGATATAGATATAGTATAACAGGTTTAAGATTGAATTCCATAGTTGTGACCCATCTTAAGATAAATTACTGTAGCAGCACTGTTTTTTTTAGTTGGTTTAATATTTTTAGCCATTATTAAAGTCTAATTCTAAATCATTTTAATTGAAATTACTAAATTTAAAAAATGCTGATAATTTATGTTGTAAAACTAAAAATAAGAAGACGCGGTAAGGCGTGGTGAACAGTGCGAGAGCAACGTGCTTGCCGACGACAGTGCTGTTCTTTTGTTTTACAGGCGTTGAAGGTACTCAGGACTGCTGAGTTTGCACCATTCGTTGTCTTCATTGCTGCTCCTGCCTTAAATAACCTGTCAGACATCAGTGTGGTAAGTACAACCACGAGTAGTTTATTTGTCGTACAATCAAGTAAATAATTATGATAGGATCTCGTTTATTATTGTACCAACAAACCTGTGTTTGCAGCCACATTCTATAGAACAGCCAGCTATATATAAATGCGACTTCTAACGTTTCTGTTTGTGTGGTATTTCTGCAGTGAAAACACATTCTATAGA